AGCATTTTAGTATACCAATTTATATAAGTGCAATATCAGAGCAATATTAATATACCGATATTTATATCGAAATGATTTGATAATTTACCGATTAACTGCTAATACCTATTTAGCATATCATATTTGCCGATATGAATATCGGTAGTCCTGATATTTATCTGATTCGTCTTTACTATCAGTTAAATATCAGTTACTGATATGTTCCCGATATTTCTCTGGCTGTCTTTATCCCGATATAGCTTTATTTGACCTGTGTATACTGCAAAATTTTATTAATACAACTACTTTTGTGTATTAAATAAAAAATGATCTTAATCTCATTCTAAATTGATTTATACAAAAAAACATCTTTTAAAAAAATTGTCAATTTCATCTCTTTTCTTAGACCTAGCCCATATATATAGTTATATAAAGTTTTAAATAATATTTATTTAAAGATTTATATAAATAAAATTTTATATAAATTTTATACGATTTTTTAAGCAAAATATAAATAAATGTAAATTTTATTATTAATATTTAAATGCTATAGCGATTATATTGTTTTAAAATTTAATATTCTAACAAATTGTATATTAATATTTCTAATCTACAATAACTACTTCAGGACATCCAATTTCTAGTTTATATATTGTGTCATTCACTATCAGATGTGTATGAATCTCCATGTCCCTTTTTAGTATTCTCTTCACTATTATTATACTATTATAAGTTAAGAACTTTGTAGTTAAAAATTAATAGAAATATAATTAAAAAAATATATATACATAATATATTACCAAAAAAGATTGCAGCTTCTGTATTAAATATTTTTCGTCGAATTTAATTTTTACAATTTTGGGATCGAACAAATTATGTAAAATAGCTTGTATAACCATGTAATAATTTTTGTAAGTTTTTAGCCAAATACTTTCTTAGTAACTATCTTGTAATATATCTTATCTTCTTCTTCCACAATTGTATCTAGGTTTTGAAAACACCATTATATATCCTCACTTGATTTCTAGAAAACTATTTTGGCTTCAGAACTTTCTAAATTAATAGTTGATGAAATTTTGTTTTTAAAAACATGCTCAAATACAGTATAGCAAAAAGATCTGAATAAAGCACCATGATACTTGCATGATTTAATGCCAATTTATATATAAAATTTAATAAATTACATAATCATGAAGTTTATACACTAAAACAGAGTGAAACCTATGCAAAAATCATTATATACGTACATACATACATGATGCAAACCCCACCTAAAATAGTAACCAATCCTAATTAAATTGCATATGCACAAATTTTACCTTCATATTATAATTCTTACTATATGTTCAATCTTGCTATACAAAGCCTTCTATTTTGAATTGTTTTTATATCACACCATTTTGTCTGGACAAAGATCTTCAAGTTCTTTCCGAATAGATTCTTCATAGATTTTGTCGTTGGGATAAAGCCAATTATCAACTGAGAACTTGATACCTTGTATCACTCCCTTCTGTAAAATCTGTTAATACTTTGAATTAAAGTGATTGATTACACAAAACCCGTAATTATATACCTTATGATATTAAATAAAATATTAAAATAAGCAATCGGTTTAATTTAAAAAAAATGATAAAAAAATATTATTCATACCTGCAACTATTCATAATCATTATCTTTCGTCTTTGACTTTAAATTTTCGTATAAAGTTTGTAAAGCCTTGATGTCACTAGTAAGTTGTGTAACTATAGCATCCAAGGTTTCTTGTTTCTCTATAATCGAGGTGTTCTGCATTAATATTTTGTTTGTAATTTCTAATAATGTATTTATTGCTTTGTTTTTTTTATCTAAAACTAATTTAATTTAATAATTAGTAACAGCATTATAGTTTAGAATATAGTAAATTTTATATATTTATAAAACTGACCATTATTTGTATTAACTAACAAACCTTTTAACGTATTGGTAAAGATTTCATTAAGTAAAAATCTGGGTAAGCTTTTATTAACTCATAAGAAGTTGATAAAGAACAAAAAGAATTTTGAGAACTACTCTCAACATCATAGTCATCAATATTTTCAACGTTATTTTTTTGGGGCTTGTAAGATTTATTCTTTTGAGAATGTTGGCTAATGGGCTTATTTTTATTTCACTATTTTTTTTGTAGTAGAAATAGAGGTGCCAGACATTAACGCATCCAATGTCTGAAAAAAAAAATATACATAAACCTAGAAAATTATAAACGTTCAAAGTCCAATATTTATTAGTTACTGAGGCCACTTCATCCTGGTCTGATCTATATCTTCATTTTTGAGGTATAGTAGCAATATAAAGAAGAGAAGGTCTTTTGAAAAAGTAGTAAACTTGTCGATTAAAGAAAAGAAGGTTTCTTGAAAAAGTACTTTGTCGATTAAAGAAGAGAAAGTTACTTGAAAGTTTTAAAGTTGCAGATCACTGCCTTTATGAAATTTTAATAGAATTTTACTTTATAATGATAAATGATAAAGGGGAAAAAATAATACACAAGTGATTAATCTGATTAATTAAATTAATAATGTAATGTAGAGATCGATCTTGATCATTTGATATATAGATAAGTAAAGCCAGTACAAAGTAGAAAACTATACTCTTGATGCTGAAAGTTGATCAATTAGACTATTAGACCAATTAATCTTACAAAAAAAAATTATTATGTATAAGTTTTTGATACCAAATTTGTAAAATTTAATTTTATGCATCAAGAAAGTAATCATTTTTAAATAATTCTTATAATGCATTATGGTTACTTTCTTGATGTATCATATATAAATTTAAGTTTTAAGCAAATAAAAGCTTTCTCTCTAATTTATATTACTTTATAGTTTAATATTTAATTACGTAATTTGCTTATTCTATATAATCATAAACTTATAAATTAATATTAAATACTTAAAGTTTATTTCAGATCTGTTTTATTCATTTATAATGTTCATATGTTGTATTTGTGAAAGAGAATTTGGTCATCTTACGAGCCTCAAAAACCATAAAAAAGTTCATAAAAACTGTTATAAAGTTGAAAACGAAACTGATACTAGTTTTAACATTAGTACAGATGAGAATACGGATAGTTATATTTCTGATGAATCAAAAGTAAAAAGCCAAGTGAGTATTATTGTTAATTCGAGCTCAATATTTGAAAATTAAAATAGTTTAGATGCGTCTTACCTAGTATTTGATGTGCAAAGATTGAGTCAGATTCAATATTCGATGACCAAGAAACTACCAATGAATCAGATTTAACATTTAATGACTATAAAATTACCAATGAATCTGATTCAATATTCGAAGACCAAGAAGCCACTAATGAATCTGATTCTATGTGCAATGACCAAGAAACTAACAATAAATCTGATTCCATGTTTGATGATCAAAAACTACTAACAAATCTAATTCTATGTTTGGTGACCAGGATACTGTCGTTGGATATAATTTTAAGTTTGATGATAAGTCCATTTTAATGTTTGATAAGCAAGAGATTGTTGATGAATATGACTTTATGTTTAATAACTATGGGATTACTGATGAGTTTAGCTCAATCTTTAAAAACGATGATGATTCTATCCAAATTGTTGAAAGAAATATATTAAAAGAATGTAAAAAGACTAATGATCAATGTTGGAGCGATGATAGTAAATATGACAATATAAACTTTTCTAATATTGTATATCAGAATTTTATAGACATAGGAAGTATTATTATTTTTTTGTTGTTTTTTCTTAAAATAGGGTATTTAGTATCTAAATAGTCTTATTACCAACATTAGGTAATCCGATATCAGCTTTCTTATACCGCTAGTGACGCTATATTGAAGTTTATAAAAAATTATGGCCAGATCTTCAAAAAAACTTTGCCTCGATCAACTAAAGAAGGTCTTTATTTCTTGGATACCTTAAAAAAAAATCATGTTAAATTTTTTTCAACTCCTGTTGCACAAGTAAAGGATCAAACATATTTATTTAAATACCAGCCAATAATTTCAGCTGTTAAAGAAATCCTTCAGGATCAAGAAATTGCAACAAGTTGTGTTTTCAATTATTAGAAAATTTATATATCAATAGAGGTGAGTAAAAGTTATATAATAACAAATATTCTGTATTAGTTGCTAAGAAAAAGGCAAAATTGACAAAAAAAGAGATCAATTTTTATGTTGTAAATCTTATAATAAATCATAAGAAAATGCAAAATTTAAAGTGCTATACTGCAAAATTTTATTAATACAACTACTTTTGTATCTTAAATGAAAAATGATTCTAATCTTATTCAAAATTAATTTATATAAAAAAAATACCTTTTGAAAAAATTGTTAACTTCATCTCTTTTCTTAGCACTTAGCCCATATGTATTAAAAAGACAACTACTTTAAAATATTTTTATTATATGTCATGGTTGCTTTTTTTAATATGTAATATTCGAAATTTGAATGAAGAACTTGTCACAATAGATAGATAAATATTATAGATCATTACAGTATGCTAAAGTTAAATTATAATATATAATTAATATTATACTAAATGTCATTTTAATTTTAGGGATACCAAGAAAGAGTTTATTTCAAATTTTATAATTGCAACTAGTGGGCTGCATACAACAGTATATTCTATTTGGTAATAAAGTTCTAGCTATAATAATATACTCAGATGTGACCATACTAGATCGTTTAGAAAAGAATTCACATCATCTAATATTCATTAGCTTGGGCAATATCTCAACAAATCTTCGAAACAAGGCTAAAGCCAAGGCACTTGTTGGCATCATACCAATATTACAGGGCACTAAGGAGGAACAAAAAACACTAGAATTTAGACAATTAATTTGATTAACATTTCATAAATGTATTAATATACTCATTGAACTACTATATTTGCAATATCAATCTGAAGTCTTATTAAAAGTTAATTCTTATAATCTAAGGTGTAATATGGTTTTGGCTAGCATTATTGGGGACTGGCCTAAAAACTGCAAATTATATCTAACATATAATGGAACAAGTTGTGCACATCCTTGCTACATTTGTTTTGTGAAAAAAAAATAAACTAAATACCATTGAAATATCTACAAGTTGCAATGTTACTTAGATGGAAGATCGAATACGATTGGTTGTTGCAACAAGACAAAAAAAATATTATTTACTATATGAAGAAATTAACAGCTTCTGGAATTACCTGTAAGTATTAATCAAATTTTATACAGTTCTTTTTTATATAGTTATGATTCAAATTCTGATATCTATAAAATTTATTTTAATATATGGTTTATATAGATGCTTTAATGTTTATGTAGCATCAGTCCCCGAGCGAATGCACCACCTAGATCTTGGGCTTTTTTCATATATGGTCAAATTTACGTGAGATCTCTTAAAATTTTATAGTGGAACTGCTCTTGTAAATAAAATAGATCGACAATTTAGACTAATACTACAGTATCCTAGATTAAAAGTATTCAAATATGGGCTTGCAGATCGTGCTCTATTTACTGCATCCGAGTATAAGCAAATGATGAAAATTATGTCTTTTGTTCTTAAAGATCTCATTGATGATAATGAATCACTTGTTTATATGTTTATTAATTGAAATAAAATATATCATCAATTAAGGCAATATAAATATACACAATCTGATCTTTTTCAATTCGGGTTAGTAATTTTTTTTCAGTTTTACTAAATCACATTAGTGCTCAACACTATCTATATTTTTTAATCATTTTGCTAGTAAAATTCAGGGTTAAGGAACCCAAACTATAGTAAGGATATAGGTCTAAATTTTAGTTAGGGTGAGATTTTTGGAGGCAATAAACATTTTTACTTAGTACCTTGATATGCACTAGCTGGTACGCTTTTGAGATATAGCAACAGTGGTGTTAAGTACTACTGGTGTAATTTAGTAAAACTGTTTGTATATGTAAATTTATATTATTATTTTATTATGATTTTATAGATATCGATTCGAATATAGGCAAAAAATTTCATCGATATTCTTGGTTCATTCACTAAAAATGATTGCCAATTTTTCAAATTTCATTACTAGGTACATCACACTGTTGAGACAATTAAAAAATATAGAAATCTAAATAGATTGAGTGCTGAGACATATGAAGCGCTTCACAAACAGTATATAAAAACTCCTTACAGAATATCAAATAAGCACGATATTAACACACAAATTTTGCAAAAGGTTATTTACTTAGTTATTTCATTGGTATCGCTATTTACTATATATTAATATATTACTTTATAGGTCATACGAACTCTCAACTCAAAGATATTTACTAACCATTTTATTACAAAACCTACCTATATTTAAAGAAACTACAAAAAAATTCAGTAAAACATATTGCACTATACCACAATGTCTTATAGAGTCACTCATTGAATTATATAAATATGATAAAGAATGTATCTCCGAAATTCTTGATGGTTTGTGCCATCTCGTCCCCGCAATGAATGACTATTTTGATCTTATATCTGTGTTTAAAGGGGATATGAAAGAATCAGAAGTAATCTTTACTTTATATAAATCCTTTACATTGCCTAACAAAGAACAGGTAAGGGCTACAAGATATTATCACAATATACCAGTATTTATCAATATTGCTATCTATATGGATTCTAAACAAATCGAATTTGAAATATTTGATGAATATTGCTTTGCAAAAGTACGTACTATTATATATTTAAATAATTACAGAATTATATATTTTCTATAATTTAAAGACTAAATTTTAGTATGAATTTTAAGTTTTACTATTGGTCTGTATAACATTAAAGGATAACATGATATTTAATCTCGCACTTGTTTGTTGGTATGACTTCAAAGTTCCAAATACTCCTTCAAAATTTTACAAATTTGAATGCCCTTATTTACAATTAACAAATTTTTATAATTTGATTCCAGTGAAATTAATTAATAATACTGTTTATATTGTACTGCAGTTTGATACAACAAATTCGTATTATATTAATACTTTTATATCACTATAATCACTTTATTAGAATTTATATAAATATTTTACTTATATATAATTTATTTCTATTTTCCTGATCAAACTAGTAGTCTATAATTTTAATATTTAGAGGAATAATAGTTGCAGATAAATGATTTTTGGAAAAATTTAATATCTATTAAATGATTTTCTGAACAAATTAAATAACAAAATCATGTCTTTGTAAAATAGATTTTTAGTATTATATGTAGCTTCAGATTTCAAGCTAACCCATACCTTTGTACAATGTAATTCGAATCATCTTGTATTGGATTTCAACCAATTTTGGTATTGCAGCTGAACAAAAAAGGCTTCATACATTATGCATATGTTGTATTGATCGAGCAATGCTGATTTGAGAAAAAACTTGTTTTTATTAAAGCAGTTATTCTGGGGTAGCGATAGTCAATAATCAAAAAAAAGGTTAAATATTAATCAACTACCACATGACTAATATAAAAGCTACAAGACTTTAACTAACCTTGTAACTAATGTTATAATTAAGTTTTTAGCTAATAGCTATTTTTCTTATACATCAGCT